TTTTTTTTGTACTGGGGATCAAACTCAGGTCCTTGTCCTTGCGAGGCAGGCGGCAGAACCACTGAGCTAAATCCCCAGCTCAATAGTGAAGCTTAATATGAGGGCTTCTGGGGGTAAATGAAGTGTTGCATGTGTAGATGTATTCTAAGGCTTTCCATCAAAGGGAAATTGCTTTATGGGCATGATGGTGCATGCCTGTAATCAGTCCCAGCTACTCAGTAGGTGGAGGCAGGAGGATCACAGAATGGGCTGGGGATGTAGCTCTGTGTTGCCCGTTCAATCCCCAGTACCCACCCAAAAAAGAGATGCTATATCTTATGTGTAAGAACCAGAAGATTGGTTTTGATTTTTAAACTCACTTAACTGTCACTGTGGTTTGCAGGATTCCAGACAGCATTGGGAAAGACATAGAAAAAGCTTGCCAGTCTATTTATCCTCTTCATGATGTCTTTGTCAGAAAAGTAAAAATGCTGAAGAAGCCCAAGTTTGAATGTAAGTGACATAAGATTCCTGAAAGGAAAAATGATGGGACCAGATACAAGCTTTTAAGGACAAATAATGGCTTTTTTCCATTCTGTCCCTTGTATTGAAGATCATTGTTTCCAAGATGTAATATAACAATTTTTTTTTCCCCTTTCAGTGGGAAAACTCATGGAGCTTCATGGTGAAGGTAGTAGCTCTGGAAAAGCTACTGGAGATGAGACTGGAGCTAAAGTTGAACGAGCTGATGGATATGAACCACCAGTCCAAGAGTCTGTTTAAAATCCAGATTTTTAATAGTGATAAATAAAATCCTATTTGTGATGGCTTGCTTCTGAAGAACATAGCTTTTAAGTCTAATGTGGTGAATTGGATAACTGATTTTTTTCAGTAAGTTTAGGTAGGTGGTAAATGGTTCTGAGCCTTTTGGTTGGTTTTTGGTATGGGGAATCAAACTTGGGACCTTGCACATGCCAGGCAAGCACTGCACCACTGAGCTACATCCCCTGCCCTTTTTTGGTTTGTTTCTCAGAGACAGTTTAGGTGAGAAAACCATAGATTTTCATTACTCTATCTGTGCATGTTAGTATTCCATGTTTTCTCTGTCCCTGGACCCTGCTACTGTAGTTCAGGCTGGCCATGAGCTCATGTTGGGCCTCTTGCCTCAGCCTCCCAGGTGTTGGGATTACAGGGTTTTTGAGCTTTTTTACAGATTTTATCCATTATATAGTTGAAAATGTACTATGCCATTTTATGCTGTAGTGATCTGGAATTGTTACATAAAGGATAAAGGTTCCCATGATGGTGGTGGTACTTTTTTTTTTTTAAGTAGGAAAATTTGGGCCGGGGATTTAGCTCAGTGGTCCAGCCACCTGCCTTGCAAGTTCAAGGTCCTGAGTTCAATCCCTGGTACCAAAAAAAAAAAGAAAATTATTGAGCGAAAGAAAGCTGCTGTCTTAAGAAGGGGGTGGTACTTCTTTACTTAACCTTTTTGGAGCATGGTGCTGGGTCTTGGTGTGGTAGAGGACATCAAGTGGCTAAGTTTTTTGATGGTTCTTAAACCATCTGGAAGTCTTGTTAAAAGTTGGGCTCTGCCCTCAAATTTTTTTTTTTTAATTCTTTTATTGGTACATTGTAGGTATACAACACAATTACATTTCTCATTGGGAATTGTACCTTTACATAATGCATCTTGGT